CTATCAATTTTCTATGGGTCACGTGACCAGCGTCCACCAGGGTCTTTGCTTCCCAAGAGCAAATACCCTGGGAACGAGGTTGTAGAGCACCTAGTCCCCAGGCCTTTACCAGCGCGACCGCGAAATTCAATATGGCGCCAAGCTAAGGAGTGGAGTTTAAATGGAGTTTATATTCTATAATCTCTATTGTTGTTTTTTGATCTTTTTATTCTTTTTGGTTGGTAGAACTTATATTCTGAAATGCCAGGTATCTTACTCTTTATCTGATTAATCTGAAAAAAGATTTTATGACAGAATTTTTCTCAAACATTGTTAATTAAATATAAAAGACTAAAAGTTTATGATGTATATTAATATCTATATGTTTCAGTGAATTATGCTTTAAAAGTAAAAATAGATTGGCCAAGATAAGAAATTTTTGACACTGAACTTTTGTTAATTATAGTTTCAATTTCAATTTTGAAAATTGTAATAACAGCCTAGTTTATATTCCATAATCCACAGAGCTTGAACATCCATGCAGAATGTACAAATTATTGACTTTTCGAGTGAAATTCTGTTTGAATTTTTCAGGTACTAAGTTCTATCTCTTAAAATCTACAGTTATCTTGTTATCGTCTCCATCTAGCCTGGCACAGACTGTTCAAGATTGCACTGTTTAATTAGCACCAACACTAACAGCCATGGTGGCAGGGATGGATCCATCATGATCTGGTAGGGGGGGGGGTTGATCTGCCAGCTCTAATGCCGAGTTATGTTTGTCATGCATGCCACCCGCCATCAACTTACAAGTCAAGTCTTGCTTGACTACTGCATTTGAATTGTAATTGTTGTTCACAGTTCGCTTCTTATGTTATCGATATCACTCAAATCACTCAAATTAAAAATCAAAAGGGGGGCCTTATTGAATTAAAAAAAATCTGGGCAGGATGTTACAAGGCCATCGGAAGTAAATCAATATTGGGGGGACTCAAGAATATATCTGAATAAATTTTAATTGCTTTTGCACCTTTCTAGTTATTTTGTGTGTTTTGCTTATACAAATGGAAATTATAGGGGGGGGCTCAAGCCCCCCGCTTCTGACGGCCTTGTGTGGCATGTGACATTGCCAGCTGCCATTAATAGTTTGCAGAATTGTGAAAAATAAATCAATGCTGTAGATTGCAAGTGGTAATGCACTTTCTCCATTGGCATTATAGACATAATACACATAAAATTCCACAAGACCAATTAACTTGGTAACCCTGAGTATTCCATACTCATTGGGAAATAAGTCAGATGCAATTGTACCCACCCTCTGGTCAAGGGAACCCTTGCCACTAGACGTTTCTGTACCTTTGCCCTGCATATCATGGTTTATGAACTCGACAATTTATGATTGAATTAGCTGTTCTACTATGATATTTTATGCTCAAGTAAATAGAAAGTAGTACAGCTAGCCGGCTGGATTAATGGTCAGATGTTCACTCCTCAGTGGCATAACTCCTAAGGGCTGTGCCCGGCAAGAGCCAGGGGCCCAGGGGGTGTGCCTTGTCAAGGAAGGTCCCTGGGCTAACCTTTATGCAGTGTTTGGAAATTTTAATTTAAATAATTAATTTAATCTAATTAATAAATTAAATTAATAATTAATTAATTAAATTAATAATAATTATTATAAATAAATTGATAATAAATAATAATAATTAGTATAATTACATAGGTGATTATTGAAAATTCTCCACGCTGATTGGTTGCCGTTGAGGTGATTATTACGCGATAATCACCTAAGCGATTTTCAAAATGGCGGCCGAAGCCTTTTTGTCAATTAATTAAATGACGAAGAAATGTGTATTTTGTTATTTTTTTCCAAATAATCACCTATGAAATTATACTAAAACAATTATTCACCTCAGGCTCGGTGATTATCGTGAATAAAAACCTCGACTTCGTCTCGGTTTTTATTCACCGATAATCACCTCGCCTTCGGCGAATAATTGTTAATTATTAATTAATATTATTTAATTATTTATTTAATTAATATTTTTAAATTTTTTTTTAGCTTAAAAGCTCTCCCTGTTAACACTCTGAACAGTAGGTCAAGGTAGGGCCGGAGATATGGGGGTGGGGGGTGTGTGACACCCCCAGAAATTTTATTCAGTTGGCAGGACTGTTATTTGGGTTAAATATTTTCATGCAAAGGGCTCTTTATTTGGGTTTTTTGGGTAAATTTCCGAATTTTGGTATGAAAAATTGAGGTAAAGTCACTAGAAAGCATTTGCAACGTTCTCGTCCGGAAAATTTTTTTCCCTAAAAAGTTGTCGACGGGGGGGAGGCTGTTGGTCTCTGAAAAAAAAGGGGGCCCTTCACGGGGAGCACTGAGACTTCATCCTTAGATACCCATAATTAAGATTCTGGGAAATGAGTACCCCATACAGGGCTGCAAATAAATATTTGACTTGACAGGACATTTGTCCGATCACTTTTAATTTTGGTCGGACATAACTTGAATTTGGTCGGACAAAAACCAACATCGCTACATTTTATCGGACATATATACGTCACAAGATATAATATAAGTCACGAGACAAGTATGTATAGCCATTCTGGCGCAACGTTAAGTAAAATGGTAGAATGCCTGGTAAATTTTATTGCAAAATGCAAATTGAGTGAATTTGCAATCGGATTTTAATTGTCACAGCAAAAAAAATGTATAATGTAGAATTTTTTGTGATCGGACCAATGTCCGATCAAAATTACTTTTGCTTGGACATTTGCCAAATTTAGTCGGACATTGTCCGATGTCCGACAGTAATTTGCAGTCCTGCCATATGCCCCTAGTGTCTAATAGAATGTGAATTTCAAATTGTAAAATAAATGGAATGTGCTATTTTTGCAGGGTATATCCTCGACCCAAAAAATAGATTGATTATGTGATCAGCTTTAACTTCTTAAAAACAACTTAAAATCTAACTTTACCTAGAAAGAGTTAATACTTTCCATTCTATGGAATACAAAGCTCATTTGTAGCTTACTGTTTGCAATGAGTAAAATTAATATTGTATTATGTAATGTAATCTTCAAAAATTATGAAGGGCCTTAGAACTCCTCTCCCAACTAAAGAAACACATTAAAGGGGATGGCTTAGTCCAAATTACACCCTACCGGAACTGTTAATGACAGGGATGGATTTACTGGGGGGTGGGGGGTGCACCCCCTGGCCAGAGGGGGGGGGTGCTATTTTTCATGATAAAGCAAAAAAATATTAGAGGCACATTAAGATACAGTAATTTGAGTAATAACATGATGATAAGCGAACTGTGAACAACAATTACAATTCAAATACAGTAGTCAAGCAAGATTTTGCAGTAGTGAAGCAGGTTGATGGGTGGGCGGCACACATGACCGACACAACTCGGCACCAGAGCTGGTAGAGCACCCCCCCCCTACCAGATCATGCTGCATCCATCCCTGGTTAATGACAAACATGAGATTGATCATAAAGTTTGTCTCCACTATGTGTTCTTTTATGTCTTGCTGAAGTACTTGAATATCTGAATTCTTTACAGATATGATATTCATATAAGGTTTTACTCTGTTATGTGTTCTTTTATGTGACAATAACTAAATTGTTTGATGTTGAATAATGTTTTTTACACATCTTAGCAAGCCTCTTATACAGGATGTGCTTGTCTGTATCATGATTTGTTGCAGTGTATGTTGTTTAAACAAATTTGCCCATGTTAATTGGTATGTTTGCCAGAATCATAATATTTTTTCACAATGTGAACATGGCATTCTTACATTCATAAGGTAATTGTGAGTGTGGTGGTCAAAATGGAAGCAATATTGTTCCACTATTCAGTTACAGCACTTTACTTTTTATAATTTATATCAATTATATGATAAAATATCGTACGTCTGGCAGTTTAACTTTTTAAAACTGCTAATAATCAACCTATTAGAATGCTGTCAATGCATTGTGACTACATTGGCATGTATTATCCTGCTTACATAATATCATCAAGCCAAGTAATTATTTAATCGTAGCTTGCCAACTTGAGTAAAATTGTTAAATGAACAACTCGGTAGATAAGACTTACATTAACTTTTATAACTATGTTTGAGAAAAATTCTGTCAAAAATCTTTTTTCAGATAAAGAGTAAGATACCTGGCATTTCAGAATATAAGTTCTACCAACCAAAAAGAATAAAAAGATAAAAAAAAAACAATAGAAATTATAGAATATAAACTCCATTTAAACTCCACTCCTTAGCTTGGCGCCATATTGAATTTCGCGGTCGCGCTGGTAAAGGCCTGGGGACTAGGTGCTCTACCGTATCTGAAATAGCCTTCACCGTGGTGTATAAGCAGCGATCAGTTCCCCTTTCTTTGATGTAACCCTTCCCCCTGACAAATTTTTAAAAAAGACCCTGATAAAGCAACAACCTTGAGTTGATAATATGATATCCTATTATGATGTTCTCTTTGTATTTTATTAAAATACTCAGTGGTTCTAAAAAATTTTTTATAGACATAATATACATGGCACCACTTGAAATTGTAATAAGAGCCAAACTAGTAAGACATAAGTATGTATACTTGGTCTATTATGTATGTAACAAACAAGCAAACATGTGCTCAAGGCTCATTTTACTTTGCCTAGGAATCAGAGTTTTTTATGCCTAAAAAACCATAAATTTTCGTCAATAATATAAATAAATACCATTTATATTTGTCAATTTCAGTATGGAAGGATTATATTTTCAACACAAAAAAGCGATATGAGGACATACTTGGTTGTACTAGTGAAGCTATACTAAATGCAAATAAATTTACAACGCCATGGCAACGGCAAAACATTGAAATGGAATGTCTAAAAATGATCAAAATACTTGCCTTTGAAACTCCAGACACGACTCCCAATGCCAGATTGAGATACTTGTCTTTGTACGAAGACATTCCGTCATTACTAGCACTATCAGTTTGCAAAATAAGGCCAAGAAATGCCTCATTATCTATTGTTTTTGTTGCATGCCATATATGGCATGCAACTTTCATATAGCTCTAAATTTCATGTCCTCGTGTTCAGTGTGCGTACCGGTCGCAAATCACGTGGTAGATTTGTAAAGTATCAATGTACGACAAATACCGAGTTTTTCCGAGGAGCATTTTCATGCCGGGTTTTCGTCGAGAAACGCAAAGAAATATTGATTATTCGCCGAAAATTTACATAATTGAGCGCCTTAGAACAATAAATCGAGGTAGGTAAAGCTTTACTGTTTTTAACTTACCTTATATTTTGTTATTTGTTGTGATTTTGCAGCCGTTGTACTCGCACTGATTATTTACAATTATCAGGTGTTTATATTTATATATCGTCAAAGCCCAACGCTATCAAAATACTCGATTTTTATATACTCAAACTGAAACGGAGCCGTTGTGCTCGCACTAATTATAATGTGTGCAAAGCTTCAAAACTACAGAACATTTTGTAAATAACATGAAATATAAATATCAAACAAAATTTGAATTATAAATAGTAATACTATTGAAATTTAATACGAAAACCATTGTGAAGTACGCATAAGATTCAACATGACATTCAACATGACATTCGATATAGTGTTAGTTAACTGATTTCAATCACTCAAACGTCAAAATGATAAATAATAATAATTTTCAATCTATTATAGTAAATCACCGTTTCCACGGGTTTTTTATACCTTTAAAAAGTTACAATAATGCTAAATCTAAAGGAAATAACTCGCGTGTTTCTGCTGGGGTTCTACACCGTAGGCTAATTCACGTGAGAATCTTAAGTTTTCTTATTTTGACATAATAGCTATTTTTCAATAAATATATTGATATTAAACTTATTGAATCAATATTTTAAGTTCCACGCCAGTTGTACAAAAGGTTATATAAAGCACTATAGGCTATAGCGCATCATAAGTTTCAGATGGCATGCAACATGTACGCACTGCGTACCTATTTTTAATGTATTCGGCACATGTGAAGTACGGCGTATGAAACGGGCCTAGTTCAAAAGTTCATAATGAATTCACAAACAGGTTTGTAAACAAAGCCTCTGATTGGCTATTAAATCAAACCAGCCAATCAAATGCCCAGTTTACAAACCTGTTTGTGAATTCATTATGAACTTTTGAACTTGGCAAGTGGCAACGAATTTGCGAAGTTCGGAACGATGGGCGATACCACCAGTATCGATTCGATACGATACCGATTACTTTTTCGTAAAAGTATCGAGGTATCGATTACCCAAACGATTACTACGCAGACGATTGTATTTCAGAATTTTCCGCCATTATAATCCACGAAAAAACAAAAATTAATTTATTTCCCGCCTTTTTCATAATTTAATCTGTCGACGAGGTCAGGAATATTAATCAGGGAAGTGGTAAAATGTCAAATAAAGTAAAGGAAGTTTGATTAAATTGATAAATGCAGCAAAACACAAAAAAGTACATTAATTTTATTAGAAATAGCCATGAAAACGATGACACAACTAGTCAACTACAGGATTATAATGAATGTCTAATTTTAAAAGTAATCGAAACACTTTTTCGATACCGTGCAGTATCGACTACTTCCGATTTGGGCCTGGTATCGGGCGGTATCGATACCAAGTAATCGGTAATCGCCCATCACTAATATTAGAATGCAAGATGTCGATTCTTTTAGTATATTTGTCTTTATTATACATTAATTAACAATCTTACGTACATTGACGAACGTGCTCTACCGATCATGGCTGGATCAGGAATTACAAGAAGTGAATCCAACGCAAACCTAATTAGATTTGTTATTCCTTATGCGAAAACCGTAACATTCCAGACTTCATTTTTTATAAGAACTTGCAAAACGTGGAACATATTAGATAGTAACTTGCGTACTAGAGATATAGGTTTGCTGTCTTTTAAATCAGGTCTTAAACTCTACTACAAACCGATGCACTATCCAAAACATTCAAATGTGACGATCCGCGCACCTGGAAATCAGTGTGTGTAAATTGCAAAAGAGCCAGATCGCTTAACAATGTAATAAGTTGTTGTTAGTCCTATAATCTATATTATTGAACTTGGACAGTATGGATTTCCGTTATTAGCCTTATTAGTTTTAGCTTGTTGAGTTGCTTGAAAATTTGTTTTGTACAGTAATTTTATTCTTGTTTATATGGGATCGCCGTAATTGGGGAAACTTGTGGCGAATTCCCTGGCTCTATATGTTGTATTTAAGTAGTAGCCGAATCTTATTAAATCTTTAAATCTTTAAACATTGAAAAGAAGCAAAGATACAAGCACTTGAATCAGGCGGAACATTCAAAATGCAACAGCAAAATTGGCAATGCGTCATTTGCATAAATTTCACCGCATTGATCATTTCAAGGTAAGAAATTTGCTTGAAGTTGAGCGAGAAACAATAAAATTATACGAATATTTCGGAAAATATAGTATCGATCAAGCGGAATTTTTTGGTGGTATTTTCGTATTTCTACTGCAAATACTCGCGGAGTTCTTTAATATTTAATTAATCTTCCCGTCATATACGTCGGAAATCAATATTGGCGGATCGAATTGAGTTAATAACTTTTTTAAAAAGCTCTTTTGATTGTTGTAATTAATTAGTTTGTAAAGTGTTTCAACTTTTCTCTTCAAATATGTAACTTGAGTTTTTCAATCTACCATCGTGTAAACTGCCATTCAAAATATTAAAATTCTATTCCATCCTATTCTATTCCCGACCAAGGGCCTTCTCAAAACATCGTGCGTGAATCCTAGCGAATTTAGATACACGCACGATATGTTAATTCGTTCCCAGTACACTCACCTTTTCTCGCCAACTTCAGTTGTATAATAACTTTTATAGAACCCGTCCAGCGTCTTTGAAACATTTGCGACGTATTTCATAATGATCGTATATTTTCTGTGTTTTTTTAGTTCTTTCTCAAATTCTATTATATAATAATCGTACTTCGCTCTCTTATACTTGTTTTTCAATTTCAGTAACTTTCCTGATTTACCTTTCGTAACGTCAGTCTTAAAAATATGCATATCTTTAGCGTGAAGGACTACTTTCTCCGTCGGTTCCTTGCATAAAACTGTAATCTTCACTTCGCCTGAAAAAGTCATGGTCGATAAATTCACGGCTATGCTGAGATCGTAAGCCTTCGGTAAGACGTCGGTAGGAAGTCGTGGACCGTCGTCTTCTAAATCGGAGTCTATGTCGCTCTCTGATTGGTCAGCTCCAAGACGATCGTTTCCGGTCGCCAGCGATCTTACGAAGGCATAGGCACGGCTAGGTAAGCGTTGGTTACTAAGGATAATAAGACTGGCCAGTGCAAGGCCCATAACACAGAATATCGCCAGTGAACGGCCAAATATTTTCTCAAATGTTCCTTTCTTTACCGACATATTGTACAGTTTAATCTACTATTCCATTTTATCCTACAAAAAAGAATAGACATTTATAACATGGAATAGCCCACGAATTGAATGACTCAAAATAGCCTTAGCCCTTAGGCTGGTAACGCTTTACTAATTCAAACAATGAAGCAAGCTCCGTATTCCAAAAGTAGTTTGTGGAAACGAATTTTGCAACTGTTATTAATGTTGCAATATAAATATTAGTATTCATATTATAATTAAATATTTCCCGGCCAAATTACATAAAATTAGCATTTTTCGCATTCGCGCCTCTGACGAACACTGCGATTGTGCTGCTCAATCTTGCATACTAATCGAACATTCAATGAACCCAATGTCTAATATGGATTTTAGTTTAAATATTATGTAAAGATTGATATGTTACAGTTTATCGACATTCACTAAAATGATATTTGCGATTTCTCCGCGCTATTAAGATTGACATACCTAGAGCACAACGCTTGTTTTACTTCTCATTAGATATATGAACAAATCTGTCAGCAAAATTATAAATCCATCATCAATATGGTCGTTTTTCGTTTTCGTAGGATGATCGAGGAATAATTGTTTATCTTCAGTTTCCAAATTGTTTTTCTTTGGTACTGGTACAGCGCCGTGCAAAGACAAAAGATCACAGCTTTTGCGCAGGTGAGATCTTGTTCAATAGAACAGGTATCGTATACGAACTCAACTGGTATTCAGTCATAGCCACATAGGTTGGCCGAGGGCTTGGAATTAAAGTAAACTAAACTAACTGTTTTGATACTGGTTGTCTGAATAGGTCTAAACCATAGGTCTAAAGTGTCGGCCGCCAAAGTGCAACAAGGGTCATTCCATTCATTTCGCTGTCACTACAGGAGGAGACCTAAACTAAGCTAACTTTATTTACACTTGTTAGATCTCCTAAAAGACTCTTATATGTTTTAAATGAAGGAGTTGACATTGTCAAATTTGTATGACTGAATCATTTCTTGAAATTTGTGCACAGTATGCAAATTGTTTAATTCCATGGCATTTGAAACAATACTGGCAGCATCCCTACGAGAAATCAACCAATTGAAGCAGTTAATTTTAACCAATTTTCCATCGTCAAGAGTAATAACATGACTTACATGAAGTACTGTAAACGTCAAAAAGGAATGAATCAGAATGAATAGTCTTGTATTTTTATATTTTTATATTTAATACGTTGAAAACACAATTCTTTTTGTTCCTTTGATGTAAGTATATTTACATATTTAATTAATATAGTTTAAATAATAAAGTAGGCATTATATATTTGAAATTTTGAATGTGTCTTGACTCTTGGATATGAAGTTTTTTAATATTATTGAAGAGAACCGCTGAAATGAATGAAGAGGGCATTAATATCAACAAATTGAAGGAATTCAAAGCGAAATTTGAGGAAGAGTTGAACAAGGTTATGAAATTTTGGGTTGAAAATTCTCATGATACTTCTAATGGGTATAGTCTAGACATATTTTTTATCACTATTAAATTACTTTACATACAAGATTATTACACGGCAAAAAACGCCGAGACCGTTGCTCAACAGGACTGAACAATGTTTTGCTGCCCACGTTGTTCACACTTGTCAACAATATTGAACAATGTTGTTGAGCCTGAATCGGGTGTAACAATATTGTTCAATGTTGTTGACAGCTATGAACAATGTGGGCAGCAAAACATTGTTCAATCCTGTTTTCATCAGTATTGCATCAACCTGAGCGTTTTTTGCCATGTACAAGTGTGTTGGTATCCCTTGTGTCAGGATGGAGGGGGTGAGTGGTGGGATAGGGGGTGGGGAGGGTGGTAGGCAGATAGTCTGATTATAACACGCTGAATGCCAACACTCTCCCCTTGACATGTAAAATTGTGTGGCATTAGACACAGTAAAATAAAAAAATAGGACACATTACCTGGAAAATGAAACAAAAATATTGTGTGTGTTTAGAGGATTTTATAACTGTTTGGATGAAGATGGAAGTGTGTATGATACAACAAAATATGGATGGTTGCAAGGCCGGCAGGTAGATTATGGATTCACGCAAATAGAGAATTACATCTTGGTGACATTCAGTGCATTATTTTCAATATTGAATGATGTAGGTTTGGATGTACTGCAAATTGTACAATAATACACAACAATATCACACAGAAGAAATTTTGGATGTTGCAAGGAAAGGTACAGTAAATACTATTCCTCAAAAATGGGGGCATATTGAAGAATGGAATATATGCTATAATAGCATATATTCCATTCTTCAATATGCCCCCATTTTTGAGGAATAATTTTTTAAATTAGTTTTGGGGATGTAAATTAGCCCCTTATCTATTAGCCCCCTATGCATAAGGTCTGTTCCTCTATTAATGGAAGATGCATATTGGAAAGGGCCTTTCCAATATGCATTTCTCATTAATAGAGGAATAGACCTTATGCATAATGATGTACGTCACAAGGCTTGATGCCAACGAGGAATGCTGGTCTTGATAGTGAGTCATCGCCCGGGAAAATTAAACAATTCAAAATGGCCGCTATCAAAATTTTCCCAGGTGATGACTACTAAGACCAGCATTCCTTGTGGGCATCAAGCCTTGTGACGTCATTATGTATGTATAAATAACTTTTCCCACCAAGAAAAAAATCATACTTCCCTATATAAAAATTTTAACAATATTTCTAAAACATTCTTTGCACATATTATACCCAAGAATTTTTACCTATTTTTCAGTCTTGGCTGTTATTTCTTACAGGAGGTGACTTTCTTCAAACCTACTTCAAAAGGCCAGAGGATAACAAGTGTTATTTTATGACGACTTGTGATGGAAAACGTATGAAAATCCAAAGAACAATATTCTGTGAATGTTTCTACATCATGGCTATGACTGGACTTTATCGAGCAACCAATGAAGAGAAATATAAGGTAGAGAAGTGAATCCCATATTATATTTCTATTTACAGAACCCTTCTTCATATTATTATTTTTTTTTTTTTTTCTTTCGAAGTCAGTATACTTTATTCATTTCTCATAACACATTTACATCAAATTAATTGATACTGGAAGGACCAGATAAACCCTTGTGGGCTTTTACAAGTCAGTCCTCCTACAATAAAATTAGCTAAAATACAGTTGATTTGATTATACAATGTTGCATCCTACAACTCTTGAATACTACAAAGTATAAAGGTAATAAAGTATTTATTGTATTTCCAGAAAGAAGCAATCTCTGTCATGACCTCAGTACTTCACTGGATTCATGTGGATGATTCTGGTTTGGGACGACCCAAGCTATCAGGTTCAACTCCTATCAATGCAATGAGTATTCCAATGATGGTGATTTGTGTTTTAAACGAAGTTTGTGAAGATGAGAAAGAATTAACCTTACAGTATGAAGAAGAGATGAACTGGGCCATAAATGAACTTTTGAAACATCTACAGGTGTGTACATGCACTAACTGCGCATGTGTCTTTCATCTCTCTGCAACCAAGGTTCTCTACACATACTAGATAAGGGGCTAGTGGGTTATTCCAGCATAGAAGAACGAAATCCAACACCACAGCTAGAAAGAGCGTCTTAGAATGAGTAAAACTGCAACGATTGGTTGCTAAATGTTGTAAAATGAAGAAAATATAGCCCTGTGAAGTTCGCAAATTTTGTATATATTTGTATTACGCGCGGTAAAAATAACCGCTTTCGGCTCAAAAATATTTTTTTTCCCGCACGTAATGCAAATATATACAAAATCTGCGAACTTCACAGGACTATATTTTCTTCATTTTACAACATTTAGCAACCAATCGTTGCAGTTTTACTCATTCTAAGACGCTCTTTCTAGCTGTGGTGTTGGATTTCGTTCTTCTTGCCTTGATCAAAATTTCTTCTGTAGCTCAAATCACCCATTTACCCTCCCGAAAACTTGCCTTCAAAATAAGACAAGATACAAACATGTATTCTTCTCTGTGGATCATTTTAACAATCTAGCTTCCTTTTAACATTTTTATCATTTTCAGAGAAATGGATCTGTTATCTTAGAAAACGTTGATACCAATGGCGAAGAAATTCCAGGAAGTCAAGGACGTCTTATCAATCCAGGTCATGCCATAGAAGCGGGCTGGTTTCTTTTGAACCACGCCTTGGTCACTGGCGATGATAACCTAAAACAAACTGCAATAGAAAAATTCATAGAATTACCTTTTAGTATAGGATGGGATTCCAAGAATTCCGGATTGTATTATTTTTTGGATGCAGATGGACTTTCTCCCACACAACTGGAATGGAATATGAAATTATGGTGGCCACATTGCGAGGCTTTGATCGCGTTTCTAATGGCGTACAAAGAAACAAGAAATGGGAAGCATTTTGAAAGTTTCTGTAAAGTTTTTGACTATACTTGGGCTCATGTGAGTTCTGTTTGCGTTCGTAGTGTGGTAAACAGTTAAGCAAGCAATCAATTGAAATATCACTAATTGAGCTGGATGATTATTGCAGTGATCCGTAATGTGATCGATACAGTGATTGGTTATCAATGAATCAATGAATTACATATTGGTCAATGTTGGTCAGTAAGGTAATCAACAGAACCACAACGAGGGTTTCGTAAATTTAATGAGATCCTTGCATCAGTAAATCAATATATCAATTATTTGAAATATTAATCATGCAATCAAACAATCAGTCAGTTATTAGTGTAATAATTTCTAACATATTAATATTTATAGTACTTTTTGTTCCTGGAAACACCACGTATAAATTTATTACTGCAAAGCTTTCGATCCGTAAGTCCGGATCTTCATCAGTATAACTTTGCCCACAAACGAAAAGTATCTTTTATCTGCATGCAAACCTACAAAGAACTTATATTAATATTTACTTGATCGCCAATGAATAGAAAATGTTCAAAATATTTTAAAAGGATAATCAGGGTATGAATTTGAAGTAGAATATTTCATAATTTCCAGTTTACAGACAGCAAGCATGGAGAGTGGTATGGTTATCTGAACGAAAAAGGCGAACTGACACACAGATTTAAAGGTGGACCATTTAAAGGTAAAATAGGTCATTATTTTAACGGGAATTTGTTCATCCTTAAGAATATTCTTGCTTCCCAGGACGTCGAAAATGTTCCCCAAAAAGCTCAGAAACATATGTTTGGTCAATTAATTCTTATGATTTTTGCTGCGGAGACATTATGTTTCTAATTGAGTAATTGGTGGGAATCTTTGGACAGCATGCAACCTAACTACATTCGTATTTTGACTTTTTTATTTTGTTGTCTTACAGGCTGTTTTCATGTGCCCCGTGCGTTACTGATGTGCAGCAGGATCCTGGATGGAATCAGTGCTGAAAACAAAGCACTATAACGTCAACTTCAGACAACTATAATTTAATTCCATTGTTAATTATAGTAAATTTTATCAACTTTTTTTTATATAATCCTTTAACTTCGCGTTATGTAAATACTAATAGACAATAGTGCAATGTACGAAATCGAAATGTTTACCAACTGGAAATTATGAAAGAATCGCAGACCCTCCATACATACAGGCCAACCTCTTGTCGGAACCTCTCGTATGTTGTTCGGTCTTGCCACATTACACGTGTTGCGAAATTATTTCAAATTTGCAAGGAGTTGAGAAAAAAAAGCTGTATAATAAAATCATGGCTTCAAAACTCATTAGAAAAGTTATTTGCACCTCAAATGCACCGAAAGCTGCTGGACCTTACAGGTAAAGTATACAATGCATTGCTAAATGTTTTAAAATGATTTCACGTCCGACTGTTTTATCAATATTTTGCAGCCAAGCCATCGTGGCAGACCGTACTATTTACGTGGCAGGGCAGATCGGGTTGGATCCCAAGGTATTATTACGCAAAGGTTATTAAAATGTGTTGTTTAGAAACCAATGTACTCACAGAATAATTTGTACACTTGTACAATTCAAGCCAAACGATAGTGTTGATCGTATTTCTAGGGCGTTTGTCATGTCGTTGATCTTCACCTATTCTGGGAAATTTACCCCCAGCGGGGTGTTCCATTTTCTGTACTTATGTGCCAGGATTATAGATATTTTATATACACTAGATAGCGCATCTCTTTTAGGAAAATTGAAGCCAAGAATATT